ATGCCACAAGAAGAGACTGCCTCCTAGGTCAAAAAGTCAATATTTAGCACATGCACGTTTTTGGCTGCTCTGGCCTGGCACTGCGAAACACCATCAAAGGAGACGCCAATTCGATTCCAATTAGAAAGCTCCAATATTCGCTGCCCCTCCCAAATGTCCCGCGTCGCCGCCGTCATTGTCATTGGGTCATGCAGCATGCCGGGCAAAGTCAGAAATAGGACGCGAAACGACTCACCCGAGGGGATGTTAAGACAAAGCACCGGATCTTTGCTATTTTTCCAATTGTTGGGGAAATCGAGAACAGCCGGGGCCCGATGCTTGTGGGGTCGAATAATGGCTATCATTTTCATAAATTTTCCCACGAAACGGTCCGCCGAGCAGCCGGTCGTCGTCGTCATCATTTGCTTTTCAATTCCGCCGTCGAACGCTCCTGAATGGGAAAGGCTCTCCTGTTCTCCATTATTGTCGTCGAGATCGCACAGTTCATGTTCTATTTGCGTACACAAAGGCAGGCCGGGCCAGTTGATTCGCTGTTCGGAGCCAAATGAAAACGTTAGCGCTGAAATTATCACGAGGCGGTAATTATTTGATCGTTTAGAAATGGTCTCGCCTTGCCGGTTTTTCTTCTGGGGCTAATTGTTTTAATTTTCTCCGAATACCACCGGAAGGAACGTGACAACTGACGGCGTGACTTTTGGCACCACACACTTGGCATTTGCTGTGGAGTGGAATATTAACAAGCTTGTCGAGCTTTCAGCAAGTCTAATTGGGGCTTTCCGAGGTGTGCGTGAAAAACCGTCGCTTCATTTTGAAAATACAATTCAATGCGAAACGACGGTCCGTCCCGAATGCTAATGACCGATCAGACGTCCCATTCGAAAATTCCAAACCCCCAAAAATGGTCCATAATTAATCACACGATGAATCCCCGTCTGGTCGTCTGGTCCAATTAGAAATGGAGGAAAGTATTTCGAAATTTTAACGACTTATTTCACCGCATTTTCCGACCGGTTGACTACCGGTTAATCTACCCGGCCGAGTAGAGTCCGAGTCCATTCATTTGGGATGCAGTTCTGGGAGCGATGACGACGATAAACTCATTAAGCTGTCCGTCCACCCGCCATTATGGTCCCATAGCTTGTTAACATAATTTATGAATGAGTTCTGGGTCGGAACGAACGTTGGTTGCCATGGGCGTAGACAGAGGAGAGGGTACGGGTATGGGGTGAATCCCCTCGCTTTAGTAACTGATTGAATTTTCTGAACTTATAAAAAAAATATACAAATTAAGGATCATGAAAAAAATTTCAAGCTCCATGATCGCAAATAGCGAATCCAAACACAAAAAGCAACGGATGATACAGACAAAACGCTTGCTACGACTACCTCGATGAACTCTCTTTGCAAAACAGCTCGATTGGAGTGGTTGCCTGCTTTGTTGCAATAAAACATGGTTGAGGAAATAGCTTGATCGGAATCGAGAAAAGGCATAGCAAAAAAAAATTCTCATTTAGACTCCGTGAAGCAGCTTGCCAACAATTTGGTCGTTTCCATCTACCGGCGCGAGCGAACTATATTCGAAAGGCTGTTTGTCATGAAAAAAAAGGAAGAAGATTATATCATTATTGCTTTCCATTTCTGACAAAGCATTATCGTTCAGCTCGTTGATCGCTTGTCATGTTGTAATTCGGAGATATTGTTGATTCCTTGATCGCAACAAATGGAAGATTCAGTATTCTACTTGTCAGAATTTCATAAAACTTCGCATAATTGTTCGCTAGGAGCGTTGAACCAAGTTTGTGCTAGAATTTGATCATTTTGACTCTCGCCTAATTTTTAGAAATGGCTTGTTCGATATTTTACAATAAACTAAAGAAGAAAAATCGATACAAGTATCTTATATGGCAAATTCTCAAAGGCTTGTTATTTAATTTGAAATAAATCCAAGCATGAAAATGGATCTCAAAATGGGACAAAGATGTAGGAAATTGGAGATTCTCTTTTCAAAAAGATTTGCGCAATGAAAAAAACAATTATTTTTAAAAACTTAAAAAAAAACTTTTTACAAAATTAAAAGCAAAAAAAATACATTTTAAAGATTTTTAAACTTATTTTTTCTGATAGGACAATGGACACTTCAAAATGGACTAAAATCGTAGAGCAATACCTTTAAATAAAAATGTATAACTTCTTTTCACGCAATATTTATGTTATTTTCAAGTAGACACGATTTTCCGCACAAAGACAAAAGGTCAAAATGACATAGTCAAAATGACATGGTCGAAATGACATGGTCGAAATAACATGGTCGAAATGACATGGTCGAAATGACATGGTAAAAATGACATGGTTGAAATGTAATGGTCGAAATGACATGGTCGAAATGACATGGTCGAAATGACATGGTCGAAATGACATGGTCGAAATGACATGGTCAAAATAACATGGTCGAAATGACATGGTCGAAATAACATGGTCGAAATGACATGGTCGAAATGACATGGTCGAAATGACATGGTAAAAATGACATGGTTGAAATGTAATGGTCGAAATGACATGGTCGAAATGACATGGTCGAAATGTAATGGTCGAAATGACATGGTCGAAATGACATAGTCGAAATGACATGGTCGAAATGACATGGTCAAAATGACATGGTCGAAATGACATGGTCAAAATAACATGGTCGAAATGACATGGTCGAAATGACATGGTAAAAATGACATGGTTGAAATGTAATGGTCGAAATGACATGGTCGAAATGACATGGTCGAAATGACATGGTCGAAATGACATGGTCGAAATGACATGGTCGAAATGACATGGTAAAAATTACATGGTCGAAATGTAATGGTCGAAATGACATGGTCGAAATGACATGGTCGAAATGTAATGGTCGAAATGACATGGTCGAAATGACATAGTCGAAATGACATGGTCGAAATAACATGGTCAAAATAACATGGTCGAAATGACATGGTCGAAATGACATGGTAAAAATGACATGGTTGAAATGTAATGGTCGAAATGACATGGTCGAAATGACATGGTCGAAATGACATGGTCGAAATGACATGGTCGAAATGACATGGTCGAAATGACATGGTAAAAATGACATGGTTGAAATGTAATGGTCGAAATGACATGGTCGAAATGACATGGTCGAAATGTAATGGTCGAAATGACATGGTCGAAATGACATAGTCGAAATGACATGGTCGAAATGACATGGTCAAAATAACATGGTCGAAATGACATGGTCGAAATAACATGGTCGAAATGACATGGTCGAAATGACATGGTAAAAATGACATGGTTGAAATGTAATGGTCGAAATGACATGGTCGAAATGACATGGTCGAAATGACATGGTCGAAATGACATGGTCGAAATGACATGGTCGAAATGACATGGTCGAAATGACATGGTCGAAATGACATGGTCGAAATGACATGGTCGAAATGACATGGTCGAAATGACATGGTCAAAATAACATGGTCGAAATGACATGGTCGAAATAACATGGTCGAAATGACATGGTCGAAATGACATGGTCGAAATGACATGGTAAAAATGACATGGTTGAAATGTAATGGTCGAAATGACATGGTCGAAATGACATGGTCGAAATGTAATGGTCGAAATGACATGGTCGAAATGACATAGTCGAAATGACATGGTCGAAATGACATGGTCAAAATAACATGGTCGAAATGACATGGTCGAAATAACATGGTCGAAATGACATGGTCGAAATGACATGGTCGAAATGACATGGTAAAAATGACATGGTTGAAATGTAATGGTCGAAATGACATGGTCGAAATGACATGGTCGAAATGTAATGGTCGAAATGACATGGTCGAAATGACATGGCCAAAATAACATGGTCGAAATGACATGGTCGAAATGACATGGTAAAAATGACATGGTTGAAATGTAATGGTCGAAATGACATGGTCGAAATGACATGGTCGAAATGACATGGTCGAAATGACATGGTCGAAATGACATGGTCGAAATGACATGGTAAAAATGACATGGTTGAAATGTAATGGTCGAAATGACATGGTCGAAATGACATGGTCGAAATGTAATGGTCGAAATGACATGGTCGAAATGACATAGTCGAAATGACATGGTCGAAATGACATGGTCAAAATAACATGGTCGAAATGACATGGTCAAAATAACATGGTCGAAATGACATGGTCGAAATGACATGGTAAAAATGACATGGTTGAAATGTAATGGTCGAAATGACATGGTCGAAATGACATGGTCGAAATGACATGGTCGAAATGACATGGTTGAAATGACATGGTCGAAATGACATGGTTGAAAAGACAAAATGGCGAAACGACATGGTCAAAATTACATGGTTGAAAAACCAAAATGTCGAAATGACATGGTCGAAATGTAATGGTGGAAATGACATGGTCGGAATGACATGGTCGAAATGACATGGTCAAAATGACATGGTCGAAATGACATGGTCGAAATGACATGGTCGAAATGACATGGTCGAAATGACATGGTCGAAGTGACATGGTCGAAATGACATGGTTGAAATGACATGGTCGAAATGACATGGTCGAAATGACATGGTCGAAATGACATGGTCGAAATGACATGGTCGAAATGACATGGTCGAAATGACATGGTCGAAATGACATGGTCGAAATGACATGGTTGAATTGACATGGTCGAAATGACATGGTCGAAATGACATGGTCGAAATGACATGGTCGAAATGACATGGTCGAAATGACATGGTTGAATTGACATGGTCGAAATGACATGGTCGAAATGACATGGTCGAAATGACATGGTCGAAATGACATGGTCGAAATGATATGGTCGAAAGGATTACAGGTCGAGAAGGTCAATAGGTTCAACAGACCAAAGGTTGAAAGACTAAAGGTCAAAAAGACAAATGGTCGAAAAGACAAAAGGTCAAAAAGACAAAAGGTCGAAATGATAAAATATCAAAAAAGAATATGGTCAAAAAGACAAAAGGTTGTAAATCCAAACGTAAAAACACAAAGATCGAAAATACAAAAAGTCGAAAAGACAAAAGCTCGAAAAGACAAATGTTGAAAATACAAAAGGTCGAAAAGACAAAAGTTCTAAAAGATGAAATGTTGTTAAGACAAAGTGTTGAAAATCCAAACGTCGAAGGGTAAAGGTTGTCAAAACCGATTTTTTTTAAGAATGAGTGTATTTAAAAGAAGAGTAAATTGTATTGATATTTTTTCATTAAACCAGTTTAACTGGAGGAAAAAAAATTCAGCATACAAAACAATATAACTTTGAGAAAAAGTCGAAAGGACATGAGGTCGATAATGACAAAAGGCTGAAACTCAGAAGGTCGAAAGACAAAAAGGTCAAAAATTACAAAAGGTTAAAAGACAAAAGGTCGAAATGATATGATCGTTCGAAAGGATTACAGGTCGAAAAGATCAAAAGGTACAACAGACAAAAGGTTGAAATGACATGGTTGAAAGGATTACAGGTCGAAAAGGTTGAAAGGTACAACAGAAAAAAAGACTAAAGGTCAAAAAGACAAATGGTCAAAAAGACAAATGGTCAAAAAGACAAATGGTCAATAAGACAAATGGTCAAAGAGACAAATGGTCAAAAAGACAAATGGTCAAAAAGACAAATGGTCAAAAAGACAAAAAGTCAAAAAGACAAATGGTCAAAAAGACAAAAGGTCAAAAAAGCATAAGGTCAAAGAGACAAAAGGTTGCAAAACCAAACGTCAAAAGACAAAGGTCGAAACGACAAATGTTCGAAAATACAAAAAGTCGAAAAGACAAAAGATCGAAAAGACAAAAGGTCGAAAAGATAAAATGTCAAAAAGATAAAAGATCGAAAAGACAAAAGGTCGAAAAGACAAAAGGTCGAAAAGACAAAAGGTCGAAAAGACAAAAGGTCGAAAAGACAAAAGGTCGAAAAGACAAAAGGTCGAAAAGACAAAAGGTCGAAAAGACAAAAGGTCGAAATGACAAAAGGTCGAAAAGACAAAAGGTCGAAAAGACAAAAGGTCGAAAAGACAAAAGGTCGAAAAGACAAAAGTTCAAAGAGACAAAATGTTGTAAAGACAAAGTGTTGAAAATCCAAAAGTCGAAGGGCAAAGGTCGTCAAAACCAAATTATTTTTTTTTAAGAACGAGTGTATTTTCAAAAAAAGTAAATTGTATTGATATTTTTTCATTAAAGCAGTATAACAAAAGGAAAATCTCTGAACATAGTAGATTTTCATTTCTTATCTAAGTTTTTCGAAACTTCGCGAAGAAACTGATCTTTATACATGATCAAGGAAAATTCTAGTAAAAATAATAAACTTTGATTCCTTATATTTTTTAAATCCTAGAAGGCACAATGTTTTCAAAGTTCAAAGTGTCTTTTTTTAAATCTTAAAGTCATAAATACAAATTCCAATCACAGTATCCAACATAATTCTCATGATTTATATATGAGAAATCATAAGTCGATTTTTCAAACCTTTGCCACTGCGAAAAACAATTTATTTTCAAAAAAATATTGACGTAAAATTTCAAACTAATTTTCAATGTTGGTTTTGAATTATGTATATAAATTCCTTAAAAAATACCTACGTAAGACGTATTCGATTAGTTGGAAATCTTTGGAATACTACCTGATCACTGCTGTCTTGGGATAATATTTGTTAGACGTCATTGCTATTTTCTAACAGTTGGAGATCTTCAGATCTTTTGAAGTGAAGATTGAAGTGTTAAAAAAATATTCAGAGGACTTTACTGATATCTTCGTCCATCTGTAAATCTTTTGGATATTTCTAGCTGTCTAGGGAGGATGTCTGAAAGTATGTTATGTAATTTATACAAAGTTCCATTAACCTCTACAAAACTCCCTTAAGTTTTGCAAAATTTACTCAACTTTTATGAAATTCCCTGAATGTATTCAAAGTTCCACATTTTTTTCAATATCTCTTAGTTGTATGATGATTGCTGAGCATCGGTGAACTTCTGGAAAGACCCCCATCATCAACAAATATTCTTAAACATCTGGAAAATTTCTTGAAATTTAGCGAAGTTCCCAGAGCTTCCAAGAAGGTCATTGAGCTTTTTTGAAGTAAGATCTCTGAAGAACTGCATCGAAGTTACCTAAGCTGAAGCGAGGATCCCTGAAGTTCTAAGAAGTTTGCTTAACTACTTTTAGATCTTCCACAACAGTTCAACTGTTACAAAATTTCCTGCACTTTTATGAAGTTTTATGCAGCTCCTCAAAATGCTACGAAGTTTGCATAACGTCTACAAAGTTTGCCGAACTTCTACGTTGCTGGTTGATTTTCCAGCCTCCCCTATTTCAAATCCTTGCTACGCCCGTGCCATCAGCATCAAGCGTGGGTAGGAGGTGAAACTTTAACAAATGTGAAAGGATTAGATCGTAATGATGTGGAAAGAAAAGAATGACTTTCTGTGCTTTCTGCGATTTGGTGCTTCGCAGTCGAGTAGAAGGAGAATGGGTCGTTGAAGAGTCGTTAGTAATTAAAATTAATTCCTTTGGTGAAAGGATGATGCGTGATGGTCATTGTTGAAACGTTGAAGATTAACTGGAAAACAACCATGTTTGATTAATATTGAATCGTATTTGAACTATTTAAAAAAAAAATACTGCAAAATCAAACCTACGTTTCGAGAAAGGTCTTCAACTTTCTCGATAAGGTTATTTCCCTTTCGGTACTGAATATTCGAATCTCCACCTAAATTACCCTCTGCTCACTCCCGTACCGCCAACCGCACAAAGTCCTCCCTCCGGGCTTCACTCACTGGAAGAATATGTTCACACCCAACCACTTACGTACTCATTTACGAGCAAATTAAACTTAAATGCTTTTGCTCCATCAGCTTGATCGAAGTTACGATGTCATATTTATTTATGAGCTACATACAGACTGAACCCTCCCCTTGCCTAGCCCGGGAAAATTCCGGGCCTCGGCATCATCAAGAAGGTACAGCACCCAATCACCGTCGTTACCAGCCAGCCAACAACATGCATATATTGGAATGAAACACAACCCATCGCCATCAGCATCGTAATCGTCATCATCATCGGAATTGACATAACCGTCAAACGGCTTCCTGATCCTGCATGACGGGTGGTGACGAGATGGTGGCGAAGATCGCCGACAACCAGTCAGTCTGTGTTGGAACAGAGTGTTTCTTATTGCTGCACGGTCGTAAAATGCAACCGACGGTGAAACGATCAATCTGTATGCGGTTTTTAGGGGCCTATAAATCTGAGGCGGTGTATGGTCCATTTTTTTTTCACAACAGTGGAAAAGGGTCACCATCTCCGGTTGGGGAGTCTGTTCTTCAATTCAAATGGGCGACGGAGGGAAAGGCCATTTCGGAATGAAATTGGTTCAATGAATGCCGTAATGAGAAATGTAATAAATGTTGAGGCTTGGCTGGCAAAAAAAGCGAAACTTGTTTTAGCACTAAATTCTAAATTGTATCGAACATCAAAACTTAGATGCTCCTCCTATTCTTACTCACATCACTCAAATCAAACGATTGATTCTAAGCCACACATCAATCGGATAATGACACCTATCCCACTCGAACCTGCCAATATTTGCTGTCGACCAATTAATTATCCTTCAATCATCAAATCATCAAACGTCCCTCAGCCCCCCTCGGGACAGCCGTTAAATAAACTGTTTCATCAAATGCACCTACCAAATGTCGGAAAATTCCGGCTGAAAATCGCTCCGCGTCTGAAACGCTCGCACACTTGAATATTTAATTGAATTTGTTTCATCACACTAATTGTCCGTTTTGTCGTGTCATCCCGCACAGGCATCACTTCGGCAGCGTCGTCGTCCGCTGGATTATCATCCTCGTCGTCCGCAGCCGCTGGGAGCAGTGGAAGTGGTGGCAATGCAGACAAGCCGTACTTTGACGATGTCAACTCGCGGAATGTAACCACGGTGGTGGATGACAGCACCGTAGTGCTCAAGTGCCGCGTCAAACACAAAGGCGACCGAACGGTGAGTTTCAGTTTGTTTCAGCATTCGTTCAGGGATTAGGGACTCGCTGACTGACGCGAATGGGCCGCACTTTGATACAACACATCTCCTGCGCTGCTGCTGTAAGGTTTTGAAGTGCTAAGTAAATTTGTTAACTTTGCCAAATTAGATAATTACATCTGTCTGATGTGGCTGTACGCGGGGAGACAGAGAGCGAGAGAGAGAGAGGAAAGGTTGAGTGAAATTGTTGTGTACCGACGGATGTCAGCAGATAGCGCAAATTAAGATCAACAACGGAATGCGAAAGGGTTAATGTAAATGTTCATACAGCCGTGGTGGTGGTTCTGGGATTGTGAAGCTTAAGCTGAATCGTCCTCCAGTTTTTAAATTTAATTTCTCAAGAACCATGACGCAACATGTCAAATATGAAACACTGATAAACCATAGAAGAGCGGTCTGCTGGTAAATAAAAACAAGTGTAAGTTTGAGACTCTACAGCTCATGTTGTATCCAAAACAGGCTGATAAAAGACTTAAAATCTTGCAACAAAAAGTTATAGTAATGACTCGATTTTACCAGCCCAACCGTGCAGCAGACTTTTATATTTCAATAATTTCACATAACAGTAATTCTAAATATTTCTCATTTAGCTTCAAGATGGATATGTTTTAACTCTTTATTAGTTCCAAATTCAAATTAGATTACCTTTCATTTTAATCTAGGTACTCCGGCTACTTCAGTAACTTATCAGCCTAAATTGTTACGATAAATATCTAAGAGTGTTTACATTGTTCCTGCTTTGGCAATTCAGTATTTAAAAAAAAATCTAAGCTTGCGTGTCAGAATAATAATCTTAAAACTAAGAACTAAATCTTATCTTAATAAAACGGGATTTATTCACTGAAATGGAGCATTGCAACGATTTTTGCCTGAAATTATTATTTATTTGGTTGGAAGTTTGTTCTTAAGTCTCAACATTCGTAATTCTATGTACCTTGGTAGTACTGTACCAACTTCAAAATCAGCTTCAGAACTTTGTTCTGAATTCTGTGAAGTGCTTTTTTCCTGGTATTGCAACAACTAGACCATATTGTCACAGCGTAAGGCATGGCCGGTCTAAAAACTTGTTTAAATATGAGAGGTTTATTCTTCAGGCAAAGTTTGGATTTCCTGTTTATAAGAGGATACAAACATTGTATATATTTGTCACATTTGACTTGAATGCCTCAAGTGACGTTAATTTTTTGGTCAAGTACTAATCCAAAATATTTCACTTGACTTGACCAAGAAATTGAACCTCCGTTCATAGTGACTATGTAACTTCTACTAGGTTTAAAAAAGGAAGCTCTAGGTTTATATGGAAATAATATAAGTTAATTTTTGAAAGCGTTGGTAGATTGTAAATAAGAACAGAAAATATCTAAACTTTTCTGCAGTCTGCTACAAATAATGGCGAACAAAGATTTGTGGCAGCCCTGAGGCAAATCAGGGAGGTTCGAAGTGAAAATGTTATACAATATAGTCCCATGCTACCTTGAGGAACTCCTGCTCTTACAGGTAGCCGATCAGATTTGGAATTTCGATAATTTACAGAAGTAGACCACTCTCAATGTGTGTCACGCGATCGTCTGTTTTCTCGGCAGCAACCATTGTGTGGTCCTCCTCATTCTTCTTCATCAGCAGTTCTTTCGGTCGATGCGTCGTCGACTTTGGCAAGCAAATGTTTAGTGATGAGTGTGTGAGTGCTGATCACGTTTTGCGTCCAGTGCTGCAATGGAAGTGCTCTGCCCCCCGTTGGCGATACTGTCATACAATGAAACCACTGGAAACGGATCCCGTTCTGATGAAGAATCAATTTATCAAAATGGACACCGTGAGGACGGTTTTAGATGCTTCTAAAAAACGTTTGGATACAGGCAAATCCGTTGTCAATAATTGTTTGATTCTAAGATTTCAAATAGTTTGTATCAATGATCATTATTCAGAGGTTGGCAGACATTTAAAATATATTTGAATGAATGTCTTCGTGGGGGAAATCGACTAAATTCTCTATAAAACGATCTGCGTAGTTGATGAACAGTCCCAAAGTAACTGTCAGTCTATCAGCCAGTTTTATATACTCTATTAGATTATGCACCTGATGTGATATTAGGCACTATCTACATTCCACAAGACCAATTTTGGAGAGCTTTTAAGGGGGAACGTAAACAATCATCCATTCAAATATATTACATATTTTATGGCCTGTGGATATTCACCAACTTTCCTTTCCCCCTTTGTAAGATTTCCATCCTGGGTGGCTGCTTGTTTTTACCTTGTCCTGGGCCCTGGTCTAATTCCTATCTCAAGCTTGACGATCTTGTTGTGGCTCTTCTCTCAGGTCCACTGCCATGACTGCTGCCTCTGCTGCACTTGCTTTCGTTTCCACCCCTCGATAATGTACCGTCGATTCACCTTCACTTATTTTTCTGAAATTCTGTTGATATCGAGTTCGGATCTGTCGGATTCAGTTTACCTATATTATGCCTTATTTATTAGGTACATCTTAAATCGGATTTTAGGTGGTCATATGGCACTGAGATTATTGTTTTGAGTGCCATTGGGCAATTTTCGTTGAGTAAATGTGATTTGATCTGGCAATGATAGATAACGGTGCTAATAAGGCTCAGTTATTAATTGTTAGAGCTATTGGTAATATTTAGTCGAGTAGATGTGATGTGACATGTCGCTTGATATGGTTAACATAAATAACCAATTTAATCATTTAGAACCATAATCCTAAATAGATGTAACCAGTTCTACGGTGGGTCTATGGTTCTCGTTTTCAGAGCCGATTGTTAATATTTCCTTATTACGGTTATCAGAGAAATCAAATTTTACCTTGATGAACCATAATCCTGAATTCCCGAAACCGGTTCTACGGTGGCCTTATGTCTTTATGGTTTTCGTTTTGAGAGCCGTTGGTCATGTTTCATCGAAAAGATGAGATTAGACATGTCACTTGATATGGTTATCAAAGATATCAAATTTAATCTTATGGAACCATAATCATTAAAATCTGGAACTGGTTCTAAGGTGGCCATATTGCTCTATGCTCGGTTGCTTGATATGGTTATGGAATATTTTAATTTGATGGAATCATAATTCGGAATGTCCAGAACCGGTTCTAAGGTGGCCAAACGGCTCTATGAATGTTGTTTTGAGTGCCATATTGGTCATATTTCGTCGAGTAGATTTGATTTGATATGTCACTTGATATGGTAATGAGAGATATCAAATTTGATCCTATGGAACCATAATCCGGAATATCCGGAGCTGGTTCAACGATCACCATGAAATAATGGTTATACATTTTGAGATCCATTGGTCATATTTCATTGAGTAGATGTGATTTGATACGTCGCACGGCATGGTTATGATAAATCATAAATTTGACCACAACCAGGAATATCCGGAATCGATTCCAAGGTAGACATGGGTTCTTATGATTGTTCTCTATTATTTTATCGAGTAACAAGAAAAAAATCAATATGTTGTCGCAATGCAAAGTAAGATATATAATACAGATTGAAAAAAACACCCCCGTGCCATCACACCCTTGAATATATATCAAAGAAGGACCTGATGGGGAAGTACCACCCAACATATGTTAGAACCACTCACCGGAATGAGATTCAAGAGCATAATAAACATCATCTTTGGTTTGCAAAGGAATGTTTGGATTAAGGTTATATTCCATAAATGTTCGATATTGCTCCCCTGATATTGCTATGGTAATTGAAAGTAGAGCTGTTGGGATTAAAAATTATTTCTTGGGATATTTCAAAAGTTACTGGAAGGTGATCAGAGTAAGTTTAGTTTTTCTTTATTATTGAGACTTTCAGCCGTGGGCTGGTTCGTTTCTTACCCACTGTAGGTTCCGGAAGGGAGTTGGGTGGGGCTCCAGAAGGGTTATCCCCTAGTTACAGAGTTAATGATGGAGCCTCAGAAGGAAGTCCCTTAAATTACAGAGTTTGGAATATTGGTTGGAGCACCAGAAGAGGGCAATCCGAGTTGCAGTTTTATCAGAATTGTTGCTGTCATAATTCATGTGGTGTTGTAGTAGAAATCATTCGTTTGCGTTATCCTTTTGAGAAAGTAATGTAGGTCAAGTATTTTCGGTCATCCAGGTTAGTATTCAAGTGGGAAGCTAGGGTTGGTATTTGTGGGGGTGGTAAAAGATGTGATCGGGTTCAATAAGTCCAATGGCTTCTCTGAGGAAACCGAGTAATGCCGCGATTTTGGTCGGGTCCTCACGGGGGCCCTCATATTGGGAGAAGCGGCATATGGTGTGGGAAATGTTGGTGTGCCCGTTTTTAGTAGAGACATCACAGAATCAGCGCATTTCTTCCATTTTGCCCGCATTTGCTGGATGTCGTCTAAGTCGCTGCTATGAAATTGCCCAGTATTTTCCGATTGGTTGAAATTCCGGGCAATTCGGAGGATTCATTAGCTTGGGGACAAAATCGATCTTGTTAGCAGCATACCACTCCAGAACCACCTCCCCACGTCCAGTTGCGATGCAAAACTATTTACCAGGAAGCTGCTTAAAATCGAGTTTGACGTGTGTTTCGTCAAAACACGGTCGCACAAGAGCCTTGCACGCTTTTTGGCCACAGAATTCTGCTTCATGTGCCGGTTCGGATGTTTACTGGCTTTGTACGACTTTTATCCTTCCCTGGCAAGGATGTTCCGCACCGTTTGAAAGCTGGCGTTGTACACACTTAAATTTTTTTCGCCGAGATTCCAATAGCCGAGTAGTTCTGCAATTTATTTAGCAGAGATTCTGGGGTTCTGCAATTTATTTAGCTGAGATTCAGTAAAACAATTACCGAGACTCAGCTAACAAATAACACTTTGCTGAGATATCAGCTTACAAACAGATATTTTGCAGAGATATCAGCAAAAGTAAATGCCGAGGTAATCGGCTGTTGGAAATTTTACCGAGCTAGATTAAGTGTGTACCTTCTGGCCACATCTCT